TATATATATATATATATATATATATATATACATTACACACATGAAAATCTATATGTAGCGTAGTTTCGCACACATATTTTCATGTAAATATATGAAGCCATGCCTAGTACACGAATATGCAAAGTCATAGTGTAATCTACACTCTACACGTATACTAATATATATTCAAGCATACACATTTGTGAAGGATCTCACTCAGCGCTTCAGCGCTTTAGATTATGAATGGGCAGTTTTTAAACATGAGGGAACAACGACTCAGTCGCCAGACGTACGGAAGCTGAGCTCACTATGCTCCTCATCTCCATGTATATACCGTCTCCGTCTGGACCTCCGCCATCACCAAGTTGGCCCTCTGCCACGCCCTGCATCCGCACGCATCATACTACGAGGCATCTCAAGCTCAGGTTTCATCCATGTATCCTCCAGAGATACAGCAACGCTAGTTCCGAGTGTACACGTTAAAACCGCAAACGGTAAACTCATGTCCAATACCAAGCCCTTAACCATGCTGCTATGCAGACGTTCCATGCACGCGACGCACAGCCTGTGAAACCTCCTCTTCATCTTGAGCCTCCACTTCCAGAGCGGGAAGCATCGGGGCAGTGGGAACTCCATCATCTCCTACGACGTCGCCGGTATCCCCTCCTTCCTGCTGAAGCGAACGGAATATGACCAGTTCCCGGGAGCTTAACACTCATTCACCTTGCAGGCTCAAAAGCAAATCTCTCGCCAGCAGCCAGTTCGCTGCTGAATCCAGAGCCTAAATCCTTGACCATCGCTCAGTGTCTACTGTGTACGACCACTTAGGGCGCTCTCTGGCGGGTAGGCGCGAACTTGAAACACAGTGAGGGCAGAGTATCCCCCGCTGTGTTTCGGCACACCCATTTGCCTTTGCATTATTACGACTGTGCTGGTGCTACTTCTGCACGGTTATTGTGCGCCAGTTGCTGCTTTGCGGTCAGAACCACCTTTACAAATGCTGCGGTCTCTGACCTACAGATGCATGGAGCAAACTCTGTTGCGACTGCATAAGGGACTACTGCTTACCGGGGCACAAAACTCCCCTTGGCCAGCAGCAAGCTGGCGCTTTGATTCTGACGAATAGGGGAGGCGTCCAAGTGCAAGAGAGCATGAGACGATCATATAGGCGAGCGCGGCACAAGCGAGGGCTGCGCCAGCAACAGTGAAGAACAGTGGAAAAGAACCCCTTCTTCCTTTCCGCAGGATAACGAAATCGTGGTTAAGGCGGTCACTCCCCGTGTAGCCTGTTTTGCTGTTTGCTCGGTAGCGGTTGCACTCCCCGTCTCCCTCAGTAGGAGAGAGCTCCAATTGGGGAGCCGTTCCAACAGTCGGCCCGGCCATCTGAACTAAAGAATGTTTTACGTGACAACAATCTACAGATTCCTTTCAGAGGGATAAAACTTCGTCTGCGGTCAGCTGCTCGCAACGCAAGCAAAAAGCACTAGTAGCAGAACGGGTGGTTTTGAGACGTGACGTGTTGGAGACGCTTAACTAAAAAGTCAGCATATTTGGCTCTTGCGGGATTCAAAAGCATAAACAAGAACACGAGACGTGCAAATATATTCATCTCCATCTAGTGTACATGCGATCCCGCTCCCGCCTACACAGGCACAACGTGTGGGCTCTTGCGTGGTCTGTCGCTCAACACGGGCAAGTGCCAAACCAACTGCATCGGAGCATCGGCCGCTACTGCAGGTGGCTTGTGTATTCTCCTCGTTACTTCTTACTCAAATATCGGGGTGATTTAGATGTAACTTTCAGTTTATTCTGATGTATCTAACCACCGGCCCCCTTTGTGCATTTTTGCTGTAATGTACCCCGGGTCACTCTTGTCGCGCTCGCAGCCGCTTTGTCTCTACGATTCTGGCATACCTGTCTGAGACTGGCGCATGAACCGCCCCCCTTCCGTCATCGACAAACACTACGCAAGCAAAAGAAAGATTCGTAACAACATTCGACAGTTTATGTACTTCCACAAAAGAATTTGTGCTGGTATGGTGCTACCGTAAGTTCACTGTAGCAGAAAGCTGCGTGGCAATCATGCCCGGCTGCGAAATACTCTTGCAGCTCAGGGAACCTGAAGTTTAGCTCACAGCGCCGGGAGATAGGGGAAGGATGCCGATAACAAATAAAGAAATCTCATTTTATTCTGGCTACTCTGCGACTCACAATAGTCCTCGGGAAAGACCCAGGACACTCCTAGAACCACGTCTAGAGGACCGATCCTGCGGTTAGCAGGCGTGTATTTTTTAATGTAACAAACCCAAACTGGCTGTGGTTGCTCGTGGGGTCGCCTTGCATCATTGCGTGCAGCAGGGGTGGCGGCAACTGACGCCATGCCCCAGTCTGTCCGCACCGGTCGTTGGGCGTTGTGTCCCTGTGCTCAAGCAGCCTGGCGAGTGCAGGGGAGGGCACCAGCTTTTAACGTACTCTTGCATTAATGATTTGGGCCTTTGTGAAGCTCATCGGGATACTCTACGAAAAGTATTTTCTAACTGCAGCCTGTAGTACTGCGACCACCAGTAGCTCCGGCGGTAATTGGTTCTCATGTTGCTCCTGAACCAGCAAGACGATCAGTAGACCGAACAGCACTCGTAGTTTGATGGAGCTGAAGGGGTGTCTGACAAGCCCCAAGGGGTGAGACATATCAACAAAAGCGGATGAGCTTTTGTCGCCGCAATCGCCGAGTAGAGAACTTATGTTACAACAAAAATTTAGTGGCGCCGGAGAGCACAGAGAATGGCATATTGTGACAGAGCAATTTCCGCCGCTGCTCGACTTCCTTTTTTCACGCAAACTCTTCAGTCGCTGCCATTTGATTGAAAAGAGCATGTAGATGATCATAACGAAGTGCTTCCAACAAACTACAGTCTGGCCTATATGATATTTTACACGTGTGTTCGGGATTTGAGTCTCCTCAAGTTGTCCTTTCTCGCAGTTGGATCTGCGTGTTTCACCTCTGAGAATTCATTCGAATGTTGTTGATTTTCTGCGCCGTTTTATAGGATCCAAATCAATAGTATGATGGCATCTCCACCCTCGAGGTAAGTCCACGACACTGGACGATGTTTTGTGCTACGCAACCGTGTGGGCGCTTAGCAGACGCTTTTTCCCCGCTAGAACACACCCACTTGTGTAACCACTGCTTACAGTCGTTTGCCGGAGCTTCGAGCCTGCCGTTCTTGTGCTGTCTTCATGCAGCTCCGCTGCAGTGTAAGCGGTGTATAGAATAGGTAGCGGCGCGTTCATGGGACTAAATTCATGCCAGGTCTAATGCCGGGTTGTACAACACTGCCTTTGTGTATACCAGTTATCCTGCAGTGCAACTGGACGAAGAGAGCAATTTTATTTTAAACACCTTATTTACAGTGTGTGAGCGTCTCTGGGTATAGGGTGACAGCTCCTGAAAGACCGTTAGGTTGCTGCGTCCAGTTTGATTACCGGTTTCCTAATGGTGAGCTGTGGTCCCGTTATGATCCATGCTGGATTTCTACACAATTTTGAGTAGAAGGCGCAACAAGCGTGTGGTACACGCCCATACTGGTGATACATTTAAGAACCAGTCGAGCTTTCTGCTGTTATTAATGAACAGCTGGGCCATTCACTTTGCTTTTGGAGAACTCGAGACGGGGATAAGGTGAGCCTATTTGGCAGGTGTATGCAGGATAATGTAGCGGCTACTGCAGCCACTGACTGATAGTAAATCCTTAAGGAATTCCATTGGCATCCGGCCAAAATTATGGACAATAAGACTCATCTACAGTCCAGGTCTCGAAATGCTTCGCTCTGTATTGCTGGCACTCCAGATACGTGAGATCATGTTCCTTCACTAATATGGGCATTCGAAGCCACGAGCAGGGCATGGCAGGCCGCTCCATTGCTTTACTGAGCCCACCACAGCATCGTGATCGTGCATTTCGTGCGAATGTTCTGTACGGAACGAATCTGGTGTCTATACTCGGCGGTGTCCACGCCTTTCCTGTATCGGAGAATATAGCTGTAAATGCTGTAGTGACTAGGTCGTCTCTCGTTCTTGATATTAGATCAAGCCACAAGAGCGTCGTACAGGAACCTTCGCATTAGAGTTCTTCGCTATCCGCTCGAGGAGCCGCGTCTCACTTTTTCCTTTCTATATATATATTA